GAGATGTGTTTCTTTTAGGCAGCATATAGATGGGCTTTGTTTTTTAAACCATTCAGCCTGTCTGTGTCTTTTATCTGGAGAGTTGTGTCCATTTACGTTCAAGGTGACTATTGATAAGTGACAACTTGGCCCTGCCATTTTCCCATAATTATTACCATTGTTTACTTTGGATTTCCTTTGTGCTTTTACTGGGAGATTTTCTGCCTTCACCTTCTTTAATAGTGATGACCTGTATTTCTGTGTATAGCAATCCTTAAACATTTTTGTAAAGCTGTATGAGTGGTGACAAATTCTTTCAATTTCTGTTTGTTATAGAATGTCTTTATTTCTCATTCATAAATGAGAGCCCTGCAAGTTACAGTATTCTGGGTTGATAGTTCTTTTTCTCTTGTGACTTGGAATATATCTTGCCCTTTTCTCCTAACCTTTAGGGTTTCTGATGAGAAGTCAGCTGTGAGTCAACTTGGTGATCCTCTGAAAATAATCTGGCATTTCTCTCATGCACAGTTTGAATCTTTTCTTTATGTTTTACTGTGGAGAGTTTGATTACAATGTGTTGTGGTGAAGATCTTTTCTGGTGATGTGTATTAGGAGTTCTGTGTGCTCTCTGTACTTGGGTACCTTTCTCCAAATTAGGGTACTTTTCTGTGTTTATTTCACTAAAAGGGCCTTCTAATCTATTCTTTCTTTCCATGCCTTCGGGAATTCCTGAATCCCATATGTTGGGTCATTTGATAGTATCCCATAAATCTCTGACACTGTTTTTGATTTTTGTAAACTTTTTTTGGTTTTAAAATTTCCAGAGATTTGTCTTCTAACTCAGATATTCTTTTGCCTTACCTAGTCTGTTCTTAAGGCTTTGGAACTTTGCACCATATTTTTTTATTTGTTCTATTAAATTCTTCATTTCCAATATTTCATTTTGATTTTTCTTTTTTAAAAGATTTATTTATTTTTTTTATTTGAAATTCAGAGTTACACAGAGAAGTGAGGCAGAGAGAAAGAGAGAGGTCTTCCATCCAATGGTTCACTCCCAATTGGCCACAACAGCCAGAACTGCACTGATCAGAAGCCAAGAACTAGGAGCTTCTTCCAGGTCTCCCACATGGGTGCAGGGGCCCAAGGACTTGGGCCATCTTCTACTGCTTTCCCAGGCCATAGCTGAGAGTTGGATCAGAAGAGGAGCTGCCGGGTCTAGAACCAGCTCCCATATGGGATGCCTGTGCTTCAGGCGAGGGCATTAACCCGCTGTGCCACAGCACCGGCCCCTTCATTTTTCTTTCAAAATCTATTTCATGGGAAAAAGTTTCTTTCATGTCATGTACAAATTTCTTTAGTTCATGAATTTGCTTCTGATTACCTCTAAGTAATCCCATGATAAATTTTTGGAATTCTGTTTCTGGCATTGCATCAATCTCTTCATCTTCAAATCCAGTATTGATGTGTTGTGTTTTTTGGGGGGTACATTATTTTGTCTTCCTTGTTTCTTGAATTGCTTAATTTATTGTTAGGCATTTGCTGTGTGCTTTTTTCACCCTATTATGCCTTTTATCCTTGAACTGTACTTCTGTGGCTTAGTGGAGTGTCGTGCTTTAAGTGAATACCTAGAAGCATGTGCTCTGTATGATCAGGGAGCTCCCTCCAGTGCTCCACGGTGAGGGGAGTATCCAAGGTCACACCTCAGTTGGGTGTGGTAATTTTTTTTTAATCAGAGGAGAGGTTTGTTTTGCTGTGTTATTGTAGTCTCATGCTCATCTCGTTTCCTCACAGGAGACCAATGCGGGGGCGCTAGCCTCAGGGGGCACAATTTTCATCCATGCTGCCACAAGAACCACACAATGGATCTGTGCAGTCCTTGGTGTGAACACAGATCCCACAGCATTGACCTTTACCCCAGAACCAGGGAGCCCTGAGCATTGGAGCCATCAACAGTATTTTTACAGTCCTAGTGAAAAAGGCTCCCACAGTCACGAGCTCCCAGTCCCTTGTCAATTCTCCCAGCCAGTCTCATTCTTCTCCTCTCAGTTTGTTGCTGGGCACTCAGACATGTGCTGGTGCAGCTGTTGTGTATGTCCAGAATAGTGCCAGCCCTCTCTCAGTTAGTTACAGGACACTGTGCCAAGTGGTTGGGGAGAGAGAAATGTACCCCCATTTTTTCCTCTCTAGGTTGACAGGTACACTGTCCCCCACATGGCTCCAAGCCAGGCCCTCTCACAGCTTTATTTATTATTCTGGTATCATCTCATTCCAAAGCTGGTGCTGAGGTTCTCGATTGCTGGGGTCCTGAGTTGTGCGTGTCCACACTCTCCATTAGGTCCACCAACGTCCCTCTAATTTGTTTGGAGTTTTCTCTGCTGTTTTCTCCCTAACTCTTCCCTGAGATTGCTCTCTCTCTCCACTTTTTTTTTCAGTCTTCCTCTAGACTGGAGCAGTAACCTCCTCTCTATCTGCCATCTTGAAATCTCTTTCGAGAAATAGCTCTTGACTTGCTACTGGACCTTAGTAAAGACCAAACACTTATTCATGGGTCACCAAGTTACCATACCACCAGAGCTGCCCATAATGAACTGGGTGTTATCTGACTCTCTAAGTCATTAAGTTGAGCATGCACCACACCATTCATTTTCAGATGGAAGTGATATATACATGCTTGGGTCTGAGCAGGCTCTAGTGGCACAAATAGGTTACATGAAGAATCGTGGCCTGAATTACCATAGGCCCTGAACCTTTTACACCCAAAAATAAGAGGAAACTCCTGCTTCACTGCCTTTGATGTGGAATGTGGGTTCTTTCCTGCCTTTGGAATCAGTGTGGAACACTGACTCTGGATCTAAAGCCTACCAGCATTCAGACTAGAATTACTCTGATGGGTCTCCTGAGTCTGCTCCAGATCATCTTCCATAATTGCACAAGTCAGTTCCTTAACATAGAAATCTTTACAAACACACACACACCCATATCCATCCTGCTGGTTTGTTTCTATAGAGGACACTAACACAGTATCCATTTCTGAGGTGTTTTGTATTAGCTAAGAATAGTGCTTGTTGTGATATTTTTGAATATCCTTTTCCAGTTATAAATAATTTAGTAAGAATATATTGCTACTTACTTTTAAAGACCTTAAAGTTTATTATTTTTCTAATCTAGTATCTCTAGTGCCTAGCATAAACCTTGCAGTATATAAGTCCCAAATATATATTTATTAAATTGAATTAATTTGCTGTACAGTTATAAGGCTTCTATAGTAAATTGGTTAAATACATAATTTTTAATGAATGAAATAATATTATTGAACATGATCCCTATCTTTTGTAAAGTTTATTGGGCATCTAAATATTTCTAGTTTTTAGAAAATAATCTTTTTGAGAAGCAGAGTAGACACAGAAACCAGAAATAGCTCTTAATTGCTTGTTTACTCTCCAAATGCTTGCAACAGCTGGGTCTGGGGTATGCCAAAGCTGGGAGCCAGGAACTTAATCTAAGTCTCCCATGTGAATGGCAGGAACTCAATCACTTAAGCCATTACCATGTCTCCCAGGATATAGATTAGCAGAAAATTGGAATCAGGAGAGGAGCTGGGCATCAAATCAAGGCACTCCCATGTGGGATGTGGACATCTTAACTGATGTTTTAACCACTAGACCAAAACACCCTGTTACTTCATAAATTTGTTTTTTATGCCCTTTGATTTTTTTGAATAGGTAGTTGATAATTTGTTACCAATTCCCATGGTGGATAGCCATCTTGCCAAATATTTTCTGTTTTTACTGTTTTAATATTTAATTTTCTACTGATCACTATTTAATTTTTTATGTACCATGTCTTAAAATACAACCAGTTATCAGATCTTTATGTGCTTTAGTAACTTCTAGACTGGCAATTCTGTGCTGGTCATAAGCATTTGAACCACTTACATTAAAAAATCACATAAAGTACTTATAGAAAACACAGTTTCCTATGACACTACATTGAAAACACTAATAATTAAGAAAGGATAAATACCAAGAATTTGTATTTTATTTATTTATTTATTTATTTTTTGACAGGCAGAGTGGACAGTGAGAGAGAGAGAGAGAAAGGTCTTCCTTTGCCATTGGTTCACTCTCCAATGGCCGCTGCGGCCGGTGCGCTGCGGCTGGTGCACTGCGCTGATCCAATGGCAGGAGCCAGGTACTTATCCTGGTCTCCCATGGGGTGCAGGGCCCAAGCACTTGGGCCATCCTCCACTGCACTCCCTGGCCACAGCAGAGAGCTGGCCTGGAAGAGGGGCAACTGGGACAGAATCTGGCGCCCCGACCGGGACTAGAACCCGGTGTGCTGGCGCCGCAAGGTGGAGGATTAGCCTAGTGAGCCCTGGCGCCGGCTGAATTTGTATTTTTAGCAAGCTACCAAAGGGATTACTCATGTTTTAGAATAATTATCCTAAGTAGTGTTTTCAATCTTTTTTTCTCTACAAGTACCTAACCCAGACATGATGCAAATCTAAATACTTAAATCTTTTGAGATCCCAAATATCTAAAATAATCTATTGATTCTACTTTCCACAAGCCACTTATAAAAAGGCACTTTAAATTTTTTGAAAGTTTGAAGGAAATATAGATAATACACATACATTATACATAAAAGCATACATAGTATATATTTATATATTTGGGTGGGTTGCCTTGCTAAAAAATAATTATCTCAATAGCATTATTTCTGGTAAATTTCATCTTTTCAAAATGTATCTTCAGATATATTTCTTAGTATTTTACTTTTGGGTTTGTTCTCTTTCCCATAACATGACATACATGTATATGTGCAAACAAAAGGAACATGTTTTCTTTATTGAATATAAATTTTCAAAACATTGTAAGATGGATTGATTATATTGGCTTCCAAGTTACAGGTTTCATTCTTATATGTCTGCCAAGCTACTTGGAAAATTAAAATTTTATGATTAATAGCTAAAATAGAATTTTCTTATTCATTTAAAATGTACTAATATTTATATATTCTAGGCATTTACAATGTTTGCTACTCATTTCCTGGAACTATGCCATATAGATGTCCTGTATCCTAATGTAGAAAACATGCATTTTGAAGTTCAACATGTAAAGAATGCCTCAAGAAATAAAGAAGCAATTTTGTATACCTACAGACTTTCTAAGGGTCTCACGGAAGAAAAAAATTATGGTATTACATGTAGGAATTATACCTATTCATTGAAACACTACATATTCTTCTAAAACTATATTCTTCCACTTACTTGGCTGTCAATCTAAGCAGTTTCCCCTTTCATTCTTTGAGTACTTATATACTAACATGAATCAGTAACTATAGAAATATGACACAAGAAGCCCCTACAATATTAGTTTTTACCCTTAGAAAAATGTAATTTAGTTTACATTACTAAGTTATATAATGAATTGAAAGTTATGTTTGTAGGAGGGTCCTTTTTCTGTTTTCTTTAGATTCTGGGTGCTTGATAATCAAATCTAAAACTTAAAAGGGAATGTAGTACCAAACTGCACAGAATTTTCAACTTGATTAGGTAGTTTAAAATCTCTTGGAATCAGAGAAGTTTTAATTGAACTGTACATACCAAATTCAAAAATTATTTTAGCTATGGATGTGACCCTTGTGAACAGATGGAAAGAAACTTTGCTTTGCTATTTGAAATGGGAACTTAATGGATAACTCTTTGATAGCAGATGTTTAATCTTTATTAATCAATTTTGTTATATGTACAATGAGGATTATTTCCCAAAAAAAGAATTTGTATAGATTAATTGAATTATCATATGTGAATTTCCTAGCATAGAGTCTCTAGTAATTATAACTTCTCAAAAATGTTGATATTGTATCTACTGTTACACAGTATAAAACCTATATGGCATTCATACAGTAAAATTAACTGTATAACTGTAACTGATATTCTAATTTCACTCACATTTCCTAGACAAATAGTTGAGTGTTAATTGGCAAGCTGCATTCCAGAACTTTGAAAAACTTAGTTTTGAAAATTGTTGAGTAATTTAGAAATGTTTGTAGAAAGGAAGTTTTAAATCTGTGGATAAAAAATTAATACTAACAAAAATAACAGTGACGATAATATTAAAGCACACTTTTTGTAATATTAGGCTTAAAAGCTGCAGAAGCATCATCACTTCCATCATCAATTATCCTGGATGCCAGAGAAATCACAAGACAAATTGCAAGACAAATTTTGGTAAGAAATGGTTTTGCAATAGGAATTTTTATTTTTTATTAACAAAAATGCTTTTATCATGTATATTATTATTATGACCTTTGTTCTAAAGATAGAATCACTAATTTTAATAATTAAAATATTTAGGCCGGCGCCGTGGCTCACTAGGCTAATCCTCCGCCTGCGGCGCTGGCACCCTGGGTTCTAGTCCCGGTTGGGGCGCCGGATTCTGTCCCGGTTGCTCCTCTTCCAGTCCAACTCTGCTGTGGCCAGGGAGTGCAGTGGAGGATGGCCCAAGTCCTTGGGCCCTGCACCCGCATAGGAGACCAGGAGGAGGCACCTGGCTCCTGGCTTCAGATCGGCACAGCGCGCCGGCCGCAACGCACTGGCCTAGCGACCACTTCGGGGGTGAACCAACAGAAAAAGGAAGACCTTTCTCTCTGTCTGTCTCTCTCACTGTCTAACTCTGCCTGTCAAAAAAAAATTTTTAAATATTTAAAGTAGAAAACTGATCTTAAGCAAGAAAATCCTTTTTACTTCTCAAACATTTCTTGGCTTGCTCTATTATAATCTTTTCCAACAAATCAGTTAATAAAATAGGAGACAAAAGTTAAACAGTTCAATTCCTACAATGATTATTGCTAACTAATTTTATGATTATAAAATAAGTATTAAAAGTGAGCATGAAAAGTACAAATCAGTATGTACAATATTTGTATCTTTTATAGTTTTCAAAACTATTCATTATAATATATAAGCCTTGACTCTTCATTAGGTGGATTTTCCTAATTAGTAATGAATGTGTCAGTTTTATTCTAATTTCTATATAATTACATTAGTTAAGTGACTGAACTGTTGATTCAAAATTTGGAATTTTTTATTAAATCAACTTTTAGTGTTTTAAAAATCCAATGTGTTCAGTAAACCGAGTTAGATACCATGTAAATTTTTCTTTGGTATTGAATTTCTGTATATTTTCACTCTTTTTTTTTTTTAGGATTTATTTATTTATTTGAAAGAGTTACACACAGAGAGAAGGAGAGGCAGAGAGAGAGAGCGAGCGAGAGCAAGCGAGCGAGAAAGGGAGAGGTCTTCCATCCGCTGGTTAACTCCCCAATTGGCTGCAATGGCTGAAGCTGCGCTGATCCAAAGCCAGGTGCCAGGAGCTTCTTCTGGGTCTCCCATGCGGGTACATAGGACCAAGGACTTGGGCAGAGAGCTGGATTGGAAGTGGAGCAGCCAAGACTCGAACCTGCGCTCAGATGGGATGCTGGCACTGTAGGGGACGGTTTAACCTGCTACACCATAGCGCCAGCCCAGTGTCTTTTCACTCTTAATATGCCTGCTATTCTGTTAACACTGTTCCTCCTTTGATATACTGTACTGTCTCTAATTTTATTTCCCTAATTAACAATTTGAATCCCTTCATCAACAGTTTTAACAATATTCTAGTTCTGAAGAACCTCTCAATACCTAATTTGTCAGATTTCATCTTCAAGTTATGGAACAACTGTCCACTAGCATAGCTTTGTCTTTTCTTATGATGACCAAGAATAATCAAGACAGGCTAATTTTATTCACTACACGATAATATATTCTAACTTTAATTGAATATTTTACTGGATAGTTTTACCCCTTCTTATGTTAATCTCTGGGACATCTTTACAGTATGTCTTTCGAAGCATTTTCACACCTCCTCAACCCCTTGATCTCCTCACTCTTTGCAAGTAATTTTCTACTATACTTTTAAAGAAATTTGAGGTCATCTTAATGAACTCTTGAATATTCCCTCTTAACAAAATTTTGTTTATGGAATTTCTACTTTTCTTTTTTTTTAAAACTTTTATTTAATGAATATAAATTTCCAAAGTACGGCTTATGGATTACAATGGCTTCCCCCCCATAACGTCCCTCCCACCCGCAACCCTCCCCTTTCCCATTCCCTCTCCCCTTCCATTCACATGAGGATTCATTCTCGATTCTCTTTATATACAGAAGATCAGTTTAGCATACATTAAGTAAAGATTTCAACAGTTTGCTCCCACACAGAAACATAAAGTGAAAAATAATAGATGATTTTTTAAATGATGATGAAATCAGATCAGACCTATTGTCATGTTTAATCCCAGTGAGAGTCAAGTTGGGAATTGCTAATTTCTTCTTTTTTTTTTTTTTAACAGAAGATCAGTTTAGTATACATTAAGTAAAGATTTCAACAGTTTGCACCCCCATAGAAACACAAAGTGAAATATACTGTTTGAGTACTCGTTATAGCATTAAGCCTCAATGTTTCATTCATTTATCATTCCTTGTATCTCAGAATAAAAAGGAATTTCATTTCAGATTTTTTTAAACATTTTGCAAAAATTTGAAATTATTTTTTATTTGCATGAGAGACAGAGGGAGGACTCCTATTTGTTGGTTCATTCCCTAAATGCCCACATCAGCTGGGAGTGGGGTGGGGCTAGAGCCAAGAGTCAGGAACTCAATACAGGTCTTTCACATGGATGAAAAGAACCTGATTTGTTGTGCCATCATTGGTGCTTCTGCATTGGCAAGAAGCTGGAGTTAGGAACCAGAACTGAGAACTGAATCAATGTACTCTGCAGTGGAATGTGGACATCTTAGCCACTAGGTTAAATACCTGCTCCTCAGACTTTTTAAAAAAATATTTATTTTCATTTTATTTGCAAAAGAGACAGATTAATATTTCATCTGCTGATTTAGTCCCCAAATGCCCACTACAACCAAGCCTAGGCCAGGCCAAAACCAGGAGCCTGGAACTCCAACTGGGTCTACCACATGGGTGGCTGGCACCAAGTACTTTAACTATCATCAGCTGCTTCTTATGGTGTACATTAACAGGAAGCTGGATCAGAAGCAGAGTAGACAAGACTTGAACAAGACATTCCAATATGGGATGCAGGTATCCTAAGCAGCCTAAATTACTAAGCCAATTGCCTGCCCTCTCTCTGGACTTTTTAAGATTAACTTTTCTACCTTCTTTCTGTCTTTATTAAAATAATCTAATTTTTGCTTAGACTCCTTTTTTCCCCCTCTTTGAGTCTTTAGTGTTTTCTTGACTGGCTTTTCTTTTTCTCTGTGAGTATGCTCAGGTGTTTCCCAAGAAATATTTTTTTTCTACCCTACCTCTCAAACTATTGTTCTTTTCTCTTATTACAGACTTATCATGAGGAATCTATTCTTACTCTTCTGTTTCTCACTTACAGACTAAATCTTGTCATCACTGTATTGAAACTTTTTGCTTAAATACCTACTAATTATAAAAATCTTATGGCTTTTTTTTTTTCCACTTCTCATCTTCCCATATCTCTTTGTGCCACTTGACTCTGCCCTGCTTTCTCTTTCCTGAATATTGTCCTATCTTGGCTGTTGTAGAATTGTTCTTTCCTGGATGCCTTCATCTTCTTGCCTTTTTGATTCCTCCTTTTCCCCCTTCTTCACCAGTACCTTTTCTTATTCCACTTACTAAACACAAATGTTTCTAAGAGTTTTGCCCCTGTTTCTTTGGCTTTTTAAGTCTTTACTCTTGGTGATCTCATCCTTTCTCACAGCTTTCATTATCATTTCTGTTCAACTCTGAATCTCTATGTTCTTCTCTATATTTTCCCTTGTTATCATATTCTATGTTTAAGATTCAAAATTTATCATTTTGGAAGACTCCTTTCATCCCTTTACTTTCATGACTCCCATTAACCCATCAGAGATGTCTATAGATCTTTCCACTTAGTCACATCTCAGTAGAACTAACGCTAAATTCTCTTTTCCAATCTGTCTTACATGCTTCTGCCAGATTATTTCCTAATGTATACCTCTTACCATACTGTTTACCTACTTAGAAACTTTCCAGTTATTCCTTATCAAATAAAAGTAGAACTCCTGGGGCAGGCCTTGTGGCATGACAGGTTAAGTCCCTATTTGGAACACCTACATTCCAGATCAGACTGCTGGTTTGAGTCCTGGCTGCTTTTCTTCCAATCCAGCTTCCCTGCTAATGGCATGCTGCAAGACACCATATGATGACTCATGTACTTGAGCCCTAGTCATCCATGTGGGACACCTGTATGGAGCTTCTGGCTCATGGCTTTGGCCTTGCCCAGCCCTAGTTGTTGGGAGACTTTAGGAAGTGAAACAATGGATGGTAGATTGATGGCTCTTTCTCTTTCTCTCCTCCCTGTCCCCCCACTCCATGTCACTATGCCTTTCTTATAGATGTAAATAAATGAACATTTTTAAAAAGTTGAACTCCCTAACCTAGTGTTAAAATTCTTCTATAATTTATCAAACTAGTCTTAGGATTACCTGTATCAAAATCACCTGAGTTACTGGGTACCATCCTAAATTTCCAAGGATCTCCTGTGACTCAAAAATTTGCCTTTTAACCACATTTCAGATGATTCTAAAGTTAGTTCACTTCTATTTTATGATCCTCCTTTTTTTGCTACACTAATCAAATACACCAGTCAGTTTCATGTAATTTTCATTTCTACCAGATTGAACTACTTCTAATTTCATCACTTCATTGTGTACCATGCTTTCTGATGTTCCTTCTCTGTTTCCTCTATCCAGAATACGTTGCTTCTAAGCTTTTCTATTCTTCAAGATTCACTCCAAATTGTTTATCTTATATAATGTTTTCTTGACCTGAACTAGAATTGAGTTTCTCTTCCTTTCAGTATTTTCTGTCTCTCTTTTGGGACTTTCTACTATTACAATAATCCATTGCTTATAAACAAGTCTTTTTACTGTAAGACTGTAAGCTCCTTGAGTTCTATTGTAATGGCAGATGTATGTAGACACAAACAGAAGAATTGGGGTCTGGCACATAGATGATATATTCAGTAATTTTTATTTAAATTATCAATTAATTGGTGATTGATCAGTATATCAAATGGGTAAGTGTATATATAGTACTTTTATCTACTTCATGGAATCTTACCTATATTTCCTCTAGTGAGAGTAGAAAACTATCTGGAATTGCTTGTTATTAGAAAGAATTGAAGGCATTGTGTTTCTAGGACACTTGCTAAGAGTTTACTTAAACAGTTAAGATTGAAAATGTTGATTTATTCATTTGGATCAAACATAGAAGTAAATTAAGAATTTTTCAGCTGTGTTCCCAATCCTGAAGTTTTACACAAGGATTGAATATCTAAAGGCTTTCCACATTCCCATTTTAAATACTGTATCTTAGGTATCATTAATTATAGTTTATTAAGAATTGAGGTGTAACTTCATATAGTCATTTATGTTGTATATTTTTAAAATGTAATATTTCTCTTAGGTTCCAGGAGTTTCTATATGTGCACTCTCTTTAGGTGCAAGCAATATTCTGATGACATATACTGTCCACTAATTTATTTGTTGGGGAGTTAAAGTAGGAAATAACAGAGTTGTACTTTGTGTGACATTTAAAATCATAATTAATGTATAGCAATGAGCAGTGCTATTTTCCCATATCTTTTTAATGAGAAAATATCTTTAAAACCTATCTCTAGTGAATTTTCTATTACTTTTTGATATTGTTTTGAGAAATTTGACTTGTTTAGCAGAATTTTTTGCACTGAAAAGTGACTTTCAAAGATCTAAGGATCTGTCCTGAAGCAGTAAATACTCAAGAGAAATTTCTGTATACCAAATAATATTTCTTTATTTCTTTTGGTATATTCTTGGTTAGTTGGATGGAACTGATTTATTCCTAGGTTTTAGTTTGCCCTTAAGTTCGTTCAATATTTCTATGGAACAAGATAGACTATTACATTTTAAACAAAAATAATAATAGTGATATTTTAATTTTCACATGTATTTTTTCAAAAACAGCAAAACCAAAGGAGTACCCCTGAGATGGAAAAACAGAGAGCTGTGTACCATCTAGCCACTAGGCTTATACAAACTGCTAGAAATTCTCAATTGAATCCAGAGAGTTTACGAACATATTTACTTAATCTGAGGAAGAAATATGAAGAAGATTTTCTCACGCCTAACCAAGTTCCAGAAAATACTGAAGAATAACAAGAATTCATGTCTTATATTAGAAGAACTAATATATCTTAATATGAGGAACCTAGAATTACCTTTTCTCCTTATAGCAAAATCTGCTGTTTATATTTTAATTGAAAATTACACTATATTAACCTCAGAATCAGCTAAATAATTTAAGCTTCTGGCAGTTAATTAGAAGACACTCAGAAGGAAAAGAGAATGACAGATTGTGAGGGCAGGAAGAAAAAGAGAGGGGACAATAAAAGGCAGAAAGTGAGGTAGCAGTGGAAGAAAAGGAAGAAGAAGCAGGTGCAAAGTATCAAACATGCTGAATATCATTTACTCAAATGCATTGAATTCCTTTAGATTTACCCTCAATATAAGATTCTCCCAGATTTTAAAGAAATGTTTTATCAATTAAAATTTTTGGTATAAAAACTGCAATCAGCTGATTAATACTTTTTGTTTTGGGTTTCAGATACTGAAATAAAAATATCTTAAAATTAAATTACTTTTCTTTTTTTTAAACTTTTAACCTTTTATCTAAGGTATATAAGCTTCATGCATTTCAAAAATACAAATTTAGATACATAGTGATTCTTCCCACCCTACCCATGCTTCCACCTGCACTCCACCCTCCTTGCCATTCCTTTTCCTATTCCCATTCTTATTTTTTACTAAGATCTATTTTCAATTAATGTAATAAACAGAAGAATAACCTATTCTAAGAGTTCAACAAATTGTATGAAGAAAAACATGTTCCTCAGCAGTTAAGACAAGCACTGTTCAAAGTCATTGCATCTCAAAGTGTTGATTTCACTTCTATAGATTTTCCTTTTAGGTACTCTGTTAGTTACCACAGATCAGGAGAACAAATGGTAATTGTCCTTTTGGGACTGTTTTATTTAACTAAGAAAGATGTTTTCCAGTTGGATTCATTTTGTTACAAACAACAGGATTTCATTTTTTTTTTCACCACACTGCAGTATTCCGTGGTTAACATATCGCATAATTTCTTTATCCATTCCTCAGTTGACAGGCATTTGGGTTGATTCAATATCTTAGCCATTGTGAATTGAGCTGCAATAAACATGGGGGTACAGATAACTCATATGCTGATTTCATTTCCCTTGGGTAAATTCTCAGGAGTGGAAGGGCTGAGGTCTATGGTATGTCTACATTCAGATTTTTGAGATATCTCCATGCTCTCTTCCACAGTGGCTACACCAGTTTGTATTCCCACCAATGGTGGATTAATGTGCCATTCCCCCCACATCCTCACCAGCATTTGCTGTTTGTTGATTTCTGTATGAAAGCCATTCTAACAGGGGTGAGGTGAAACCTCATTGTGGTTTTGACTTGCATCTCCCTGATGGCTAGTGATCCTGAGCATTTTTTCATGTGTCCATTGGCCATTTGGATTTCCTCTTTTGAAAAATGCATGTTTAAGTCCTTTGCTCATTTCTTAACTGGATTGTTTGTTTTTGTTCTTGTCAAGTTTCTTGAGTTCTTTATATATTCTGGATATTAATCCTTTATTAGTAGCATAGTTAGCAGATAATTTCTCCCATTCTGTTGGTTGCCTCTTCACTTTGCTGAGAGTTTCTTTTGCAGTGCAGGGGTGTCTCAATTTGATGTAGTTCCATTTGTGAATTTTGGCTTTGAGTGCCTTTGCTTTTGGGATCGTTTCCAAGAACTCTTTGCCTCTGCCAGTGTCTTGCAGGATTTTCCTAATGTTCTCTAATAATTTGATGGTGTTGAGTCATAGATTTAGATCTTTAATCCATGTTGAGTGGATTTTTGTGTAAGGTGTAAGGTAGGGGTCTTGTTTCACTACTTCTGTATGTGGAAATCCAGTTTTCCCAGCACCATTTGTTGAAGAGACTGTCCTTGCTCCAGGGATTGGTTTTAGCTCCTTGGTCAGATTTAAGTTGGTTTAGATGTTTTGATTGCTTTCTAGAGTTTCTATTCTATTCCAATCGTCTATCCATCTATTTTTGTACCAGTATTAGGCTGTTTTGATTATAACTGTCTTGTAATATGTCTTAAAATCTGGTATTGTGATGCCTCTGGCTTTGTTTTTGTTGTATAAGATTGCTTTAGCTATTTGAGATCTCCTGTGCCTCCATATGAATTCCAGCATCACTTTTTCTAGATCTGAGAAGAATGTCTTTGGTATTTTGATTGGTATTTCATTGAATCTGTAAATTGCTTTTGGCAGTGTGGACATTTTGATGATATTGATTCCTCCAATCCATGCACATGGAAGATTTTTCCATTTTTATTTTTTTATTTTTATTTTTTATTTTTGACAGGCAGAGTGGACAGTGAGAGAGAGAGAGACAGAGAGAAAGGTCTTCCTTTTACCATTGGTTCACCCTCCAATGGCTGCTGCGGCTGGCACGCTGTGGCTGGCGCACCGCGCTGATCCAAAGCCAGGAGCCAGGTGCTTCTCCTGGTCTCCCATGGGGTGCAGGGCCCAAGCACTTGGGCCATCCTCCACTGCACTCCCTGGCCACAGCAGAGAGCTGGCCTGGAAGAGGGGCAACCGGGACAGAATCCGGTGACCCGACCGGGACTAGAACCTGGTGTGCCAGCGCCGCAAGGCGGAGGATTAGCCTATTGAGCTGCGGCGCCGGCCCTCCAATTTTTTTATATCTTCTTTTATTCATTTCTTTAATGTTTTGTAATTCTCATTGTAGCAATCTTTGACATCCTTGGTTAAATTTTTTCTAAGGTATTTGATTTTTTTTTTTTTGTAGATATTATGAATGGGATTGATCTTGGAAGCCTATTCTCAGCCTTGGCATTTTCTGTGAATACAAAGGCTGTTGATTTTTGTGTATTGACTTTATATCCTGCTACCAAGCATTTATTTCCTGCTACCAAATGTTTATATGAGTTAGAATTGTCTCTTAGTGGAGTCTTTTGGATCCCCTGTATCTAGATCCATTTTATCTGCAAATAGGGATAGTTTTTTTGAATCTCTTTTATTTCCTTTTCTTGCCTGATGGCTCTGGCTAAAACTTCCAAGACTATATTGAATAGCAATGGTGAAAGTAGGCATTCTTGTCTGGTACTGGATCTCAGTGAGAATTCTTCCAACTTTTCCCTATTCAATATGACACTGGCCATGGGTTTGTCATAAATTGCCTTGTGTTGAGGAATGTTCCTTCTATACTCAATTTGCTTAGAGTTTTCATCATGAAAGGGTATCATATTTTATCAAATGCTTTCTCTGCATCTACTGAAATAATCATAAGGATTTTGTTCAGCATTTTATTAATGTGATGTATCACATTGATTGATTTGTGAATGTTGAACCATCCCTGCATAGTAGGGATAAATCCCACTTCGTCTAGGTGGATGAGCTTTCTGGTGTATTATTGGATTTGATTGGCTAGAATTTTGTTGAGGATGTTTGCATCTATGTTCATCAGGGAAATTGGTCTGTAATTCTCTTTCTCTGTTGCATCTTTTTCAGGTTTAGGAATTAAGGTGATGCTGGCTTCATAGAAAGAGTTTTGGAGGATTCCATCCCTTTCATTTAGAGTTAGTTCTTCTTTAAATGTCTGGTAGAATTCAGTAGTGAATCCATCTGGTCCTGGGCTTTTCTTTGTTGAGAGGGCTCTTTCATGATTTTTGTTAACATGGAATATCTTTTTCTGTTCTTTATATTTCAGTCTGCATGTATCATTGTTAGTGATATGGGCTTGTTTCTTGTAGGCAAAAAATATATGGTTCTTGTTTTTTAATCCATTCAGCCTGTTTGTATCTTTTATCTGGAGACTTGAGGCCATTACATTCAATGTGACTATTGAAAAGTGATGACTTGGCTGTGCCATTTTTCCATGAATATTCCTGTATTTTTACTTTGTATTTCCTTTGTACTTTTATTGGGAGATTTTCTGCTTTTGCCATCTTTCATAGTGATGACCTGTGTTTCTGTGTTTCCATGTATTGCTCATCCTTAAGCATCTTTTGTAAGGCTGGATGAGTGATGACAAATTCTTTCAGTTTCTGTTTGTTACAAAAGATCTTTATTTCACTTTCATTCATAAATGAGAGCTCTGCAGGGTATGGTATTCTAGGTTGACAGATTTTTTTTCCTAATACTTAAAATATATCTTGCCATTCTCTCCTAGTCTTTGTGGTTTCCTATGAGAAGTCAGCTGTGAGTCTAATTGGAGATCCTGTGAAAATAATCTGGCATTTCTGTCATGCACATTTAGAATCTTTTCTTTATGTTTCATTGTGTAGAGTTTGACTACAAAGTGTTATGGTTAAGATCTTTTCTGAGGCCAGCACCGTGGCTGACTAGGCTAATCCTCTGCCTTGCGGCGCCGGCACACGAGGTTCTAGTCCCAGTCGGGGCACCGGATTCTTTCCCGGTTGCCCCTCTTCCAGGCCAGCTCTCTGCTGTGGCCAGGGAGTGCTGTGGAGGATGGCCCAACTGCTTGGGCCCTGCACCCTCATGGGAGACCAGGAGAAGCACCTGGCTCCTGCTTTCGGATCAGCACGGTGCGCTGGCCACAGCGCGCCAGCCGCAGCGGCCATTGGAGGGTGAACCAACGGCAAAGGAAGACCTTTCTCTCTGTCTCTCTCTCTCTCACTGTCCACTCTGCCTGTCAAAAAAAAAAAAAAAAGATCTTTTCTGGTCATGTCTATTAGAAGTTCTCTGTGCTTCTTGTACTTGGATGTCCCTTTCTCCAAATTAGGGAAATCTTCTGTAATTATTTCACTAATCCAATTCTGTCTTTCCATACCTTCAGGAACTCCTAAGATCCGTATGTTGGGTCATTTGATAATATCCCATAAATCACCAACACTTTTTAATTTTTCTAATTTCTTCTTTTTTTTTTTTTCCAGAGAATTGTCTTTTAACACAGATATTCTCTTTTCTGCCTCACCAAGTCTGTTGTTAAGGCTTTCTACCACATTTGTTATTTGATCTATTGAATTCTTCATTTCTAATATTTCATATTGATTTCTCTCTCCTTTTTTTTTTTTTTTGACAAGCAGAGTGGACAGTGAGAGAGACAGAGAGAAAGGTCTTCCTTTTGCCATTGGTTCACCCTCCAATGGCCACCGTGGCCAGTGCGCTGCAGCCGGCGCACCGCGCTGATCCAATGGCAGGAGCCAGGTGCTTCTCCTGGTCTCCCATGGGGTGCAGGGCCCAAGTACTTGGGCCATCCTCCACAGCACTCCCTGGCCACAGCAGAGAGCTGGCCTGGAAGAGGGGCAACTGGGACAGAATCCGGCGCCCCGACCGGGACTAGAACCTGGTGTGCCGGCGCCACAAGGCGGAGGATTAGCCTAGTGAGCAGTGACGCTGGCTTGATTTCTCTTTATAATCTTAGTTTCTTGGGAAAATTTTTCTTCATGTCATGTATAATTTCTTTGATTCATGGATTTGCTTCTGATTTCTTCTAAGTAACCCTGCAACCAATTATTTGAATTCTATTTTCAGAATATCTTCAGTCTTTTCATTTGCACATTCTGGTATGT